GAATTAGGATAAAAAGATTCGGTTTCCAAAAAAGTGACATCCATGGATATATAAGATTATAAACACGGCGACTAGAAGGATGATAACACTTATACCCTTTTTTATTTGGTGAATATCCTATAAAGATACATTTAAGAGCCTTGGGGTCTAACTTACTTCGATGAGGACCATGAACATGAACAAATGCAGAACAATCAAAAACACGACTCTAAGGACTTAACATAGTGGGCACGGATGGAAAGAAATTATTTATAAAATGTATAGGGCTAACACTAGATGGTAACCTATTGATTAAATAAGTAGCGGTCAACACAGCTTTTCCCCAATAAAACTTGGGAACATTCATTTGAAAGAGTAATGCTCTAGCAATTTCAAGAAGGTGACGGTTTTTCCGTTCAGCAACCTCATTTTGTTGTGAGGTGTCAACACAAGTCAATTCGTGAACAACACCATTTTGTTTCAGAAAATCAGAAAAGTTTCGATTTACATATTCTTTCCCATTGTCTGACCGTAACCGTTTGATAGGTTTTTCAAATTGGGTTTGAACCATGTGGAAAAAATTAACAAATAGTTGAAACACTTCTGATTTATCTTTCATAAGAAAAACCCACGTAATCCTAGAACAATCATCAATAAAAGTGACAAACCATTTTGCACCAGAAATATTTGAAACGGACGAAGGTCCCCAAACATCAGAATGAACCAAATCAAAAGGTTGGGCACTTTTATTATTACTAGGAAAAAACGTGGCACGGTGATGTTTGGAAAATTGACATACATCACAGTTAAAAGACTCAACTGACAATTTTGTAAATAAATGGGGAAACATGGCCCGAACAACTCTAAAGGGAGGATGCCCAAGACGTTTGTGATGCAACCATATTTGAGAGGAATTCCAAGATTCTGAACTCACTTGATGACAAATACTTTCCTTATACGGCAGAGAGTATAACCTGTCTCGTTCCTTAGCAATTCCAATCGTCTTCCCTGTGGCAAGATCTTGAAAAACACAATGGGAATGAAATAAAGTTACTGCGCAGTTTAAATCTTTGGTGAGTTTGTGGATAGACAAAAGATTATTAGAGAGCCCGGAACATGAAGCACATGCTTAAGGTGAAGAGATGAATTCAGGTTGATGTTACCACATCCGGTAATGAGAGTTTGGGATCCATTAGCAACAGTGATATGGTGTTTGTTTGGTAAAGTGGAATATGAAGATAAATGTGAGATGTGAGATGTCATGTGATCTGTAGCACCAGAGTCAATAATCCAACTATGATCAGTGCTCAAAGCATCAAAAGATAAGAAGGTAGAATTCTTACTAGTCATTGTTAGAGAACAATTATCAGTGGGTGTACTCAAGGAGTCCATAAGTGCTCTTAGGCGCTCAAGTTCTGCTTTGCTAAGCCGGGGATATCTTCTGTGGGTGAACTAGGTGGATTGCCTTCAATTTCCAGATTAGAAACAGTGTGATTTGCACGTTTTTGAACAATATTTTTGGACCCGCTTATACGTCCAAGGACTTTATCCCTTCCATGCAGTTTGAAACATGTGTCCTTTTTATGACCAGATTTTTTACAGGTGCTGGACTTCAAAACAGGGCCTCTCAAAGTGGATCCTTGTATGGAACCCTTTCCGGTGGCTAAAGCTGAACCATCATCTGATTTCTCTTCCATCATTACTGACCTCCTACTTTCTTCACCACGAACAGTGTGAAAGACTTCTGAAAGAGATGGCAGTTTCTTATTACCCAAAATTTGAACCTGAATGGGATCAAATTCAAAGTTGAGCCCAGAGAGAAACTTAAATATCTGTGTTCTTTCAAGAAATTGGGTTAATGCAGTGGAGTCTTCATCACACTTCATTGTCAAACTTTGATACTAATCTAATTCGATCCAGAGACCATTTAGATTGCCATAATAGTCAGTTACAGAGAGAGTTCCTTGCTTAGTATTAAAGACTTTATATTCCAATTCAAAACATGTTTAGAGATCTTGTTTCATGGAATATGTTTCTACCAGATTCTTCCAAATCTCCCCAGCAGTTGCGAAAAATAAATAATTCCTACTAACCTCCGGAGTCATAGAGTGCCAAAACCAGGTCATAATGAGAGAATCCTCATCAACCCATGTCTCATAGTGTGGATCTGTCTCAGCGGGGGCTTTGCCTTCGATGTGACTAATCCTTTTGCGTCCTCTAAGAGTGGTACGAACAAGCTGGGCCCATTGAAGGTAGTTGCGCCCATCTAACCGGTATGACCCTTGTAAAATCGGGAGGTCATTGTGGGTCAACGGTGGAAGAGAAAGAGTTTTGTCTGCGAGATCACGCATAGTAAAGTGGCAGTTTCAAAGAAAAAGAAAAAAACAACTCTGGAACAAAACCTAGAGGAGCAGCCTTCTGGCAGTAATATTGTGATGAAAAGAAAGGGTTTTTTGTGTTTGCGTGCAGTAGCAGAGCCCCTAGAATCGAGAAGCTCTGATACCAAGTTGAAGAATGGAGTTTTATTGATCAATACAAATACAGAAGCTAAATACAATTTATAGGCCTAGGCTAACTTAATAAAGGAAAGAGTAATTATGTACAAGATCTTCTAATTAATACAAATCTCCTACTTGATTCTAGGAAATCAGATTATGATCAAATCTCATTATAATCAACCAAATATTCTAATATCTCTACAGTCGATTTTAAAGGTAGCCAACAGGTAGCCACTCATTTATCTATGTGTTTTCTCTTTTCTTTTTCTATTTTCCCTTCCTGATCCTTATTTTCTTCTTCATCTTGTTTCTTCGTTGATCAACCCATTCCATTCCATTTCCAACCAGCTCAAAGGACACAAAATCACAAAACCAAGCACAGATTTGAATAACATGGATAAAAATTGACTTTTAAATTTAGAAATTTTAATCCATAGCTGTTTAGAGTTCCTCTCTCAGCCATTAAAAAATCTCCACTATCAGTTCCTAAATCAAAATCTCAATATCTAACAAAAACCCAGTTAACAAAACAAAACAAAGCAAACCAAAGCAAAGCAAAGCAAAGCAAAGCAAAACAAAACAAAACAAAACAAAACAAAACAAAACAAAACAAAACAAAACAAAACAAAACAAAACAAAACAAAACAAAATCGCATAGTAGTCAATAGTGCATTTGGCGATCGCCATATAGCGCCTTTGGCGATTCAGAACGTCGGCGCCAGGAAATATGGCTATTGCGCAGGGGATACAGTTGGCGTTGCCAACTCTGCGCTATCGCCTCGCTTTCGTTTTTATGCACCAAAAATGGCGCTAATTTAAAAAAAAAAAATAGGCCCAGAATAATTATGGACTCTGCGTACGTGGGTCGACTTCACAGCCATACTTCAGTAAGTAACGTGACTCTCTGAACATAAAAACAAATGACGGCTAATAATACCAAGAAGCATTCTTATCTCTGTATCTGCGCTACTGTGCGTGGAGCACTGGAGTGTAGACGGAGCGGCCAGATAGCAGCGACCACCCAGCGCTCATCCAACGACCACCTAGCCTCTGGCGACCACCCGGCACCCATCCAACCACCCCCTAGCCTCCGGCGACCACCCAGGAAATTCCTCCCCGACATTATTTTTGAGTTTGAGCTTATACCTCTGTTTAAATAAGTGTGATTGTGTTCCTTACCATATTTCGTATGATGTTATTATGTATGTTATTGTCTTTTGTTTTTGTTTTTGTATGTTATGGTCAGTGCTTAAAAGAAAGGGAATTAATGTCTTATTACTCTTAAACTTTTCTTTTTTATGGAACAATGAACTTAATATGGAGGCATGGCAACAATGAACTATATGTTGCCAAAGAGTATTAGTCAACAGATCGTAAAGATCATACTTTAAATTCAATTTTTTAGACATGAACTGGTTATGGATATTAAGTTGGTTTGATTTGGATTGTTTTTGGTACTACTTTGGTTACTTAACAATTTCACTCTTTAATTGGTGGTTAAGTCATACACCTATATTGTCTATATGTTATGTTTAAAGTTTTTTAAAGTTGTGTTTTACTGGTGTGCCATTTGTGCGCCATTTTTGCGCCATCGCCATCGCAGCGTGAAATTACCCCTGCGCCGTGCGCCGTGACTACTATGAATATAATATGGATGAGAAGTTGAGAACATACGAGAACAAACAAGAATAATAATACACTTGAGATGCAGCAAGAAATAGAAAACAAAGAAGAAGAGTCAAGAGAGAATGGGGAAAAAAAGAAATGTAAGATAAATGAAGAGATAAAATGAAGTCAAAATGGAATGAAGAAGAGAGCGCCAGTAGTAAGCTGAGTGAAAAGGGAAAAAGCAGAAAAAGCAAAATCGGAGATGATAAGGACGAACAGAATTTTTTGAGTTGACCTGGAAAGTAGAAAAGGAAAATAAAATGGTGAGCTGGACGCCTCTAAGTGCCAACATAACAGATGATGGAAAAATAATGATAGAGACCTAAAATAATACTAGAATAAGAATGATATTAAGTCCTTTAATATTGTATAATAAAAGAGGTTTAGGCCCTATAACTAAATAGAAGTGGGCTGGCCCATTAGAAAAAGAATAAATAGGGTGAGCTGTGAGTAGAAAGGCAGGAAGAATTTGGATTTGGAATTAGGCCTTGGGAGTGTTGAGACGACTCGAACTGTCTCGATCTGTTTTCTTCTCTTTCTTTCCATTGCAGCCATTGTTATCCGGTTACGGTCCTGAAAACTTTATCAATAAAATACTAATTTCTACTACTTGCTGGAGGGTTCTAACAAATAATAGCCGCTTAGGTTTAATTTACCTGAAAATCGGATCGTAACCTTCAAAATGAAATAATTGGGTGTTTTATTGCATTCCGTGTACTCGATTAGGAGTTTTTTTGTACGAGGGTATAGTTGCCGGTTTCGCTATATTACAGGGGACTATGACAGTTTTCCCATGCAAAATGATCTTGTTTCACCTTTGGTAGGGGAGAAAGAGTTGGATTACAAATATTGTACCTTGTGTGGTTTGCTCTTAGCAAGAAACTTTTGTGCCTGAAATTTAAGAGAAATGCACAATAAATTGCACAAAATCTATCACGATTATTAAACATCAATCAATATGAAGCCAACTGATATTTGTTGCCAACACTTACACTGTAAATAAGTATTTTTAATTTTTAAATAAAATCTGAAAAAACAGCCCAGCCGGACAAGAATACAATAACAGTTCTCAGAGTTCCAAGATTAGTTATGTATATAAAGCACAACCAATTATTTAAACAATGTTGATATGTGTGAACTGTGACGAATGCTTGGGAGAAAGTTCTGAAGTAAAAGCTTTAAATAAGAATTTGCCATTACTATACTAAGGAAAATAAACTAAACTAGTATTAAAACTTCTATAGTCAGATTTTGCATATTACCATTGACTCTTTCAAGTAGTAAGGGATACGTGCCAATCTAAGAATGTCAGTTGCAATCCAATCAGTAACTGCATCAACAGATAGCTGTCCATCATACCTATCAATGACAAATCAGTGCTCTCGATGAGCCACCAACAGGAAATACAGTGTAGCGCAAAAAACAGGAAACTGATGTTACACAAATGACTATTTAGTTGAAAAGCATTAGAGTTAGTTCTAAGGCCTTGTGCTAATTGTAATGGTGTAGTGGTAGGCTAAATGGGGTAAATGTTAAAGATTGAATTTTTGGACTCCTTATTTAATGTAGTGGTAGGCTAAATGGGGTATTAAAAGTGGGAAAGGGGCGAAGGGGGCATAAATGGAGGGTGGGTTGACAGGGGGGGAGAAAAGGAAAAAGAAAAGAAAAGGAAAAGCGGGGAGCGGACGGGGTGCATGCATGGTAGTGGGGATGACGTCATCCTTCCATCATGTTTGCGTCATTATTACCCCAAATGTATTTAAACTTATAACTTTTTTATTTGTTCTCCAAATTTTTCAAAAAAAAAAATATCAAAAATTCTTGAATTTTTATGATCTTTCATATGACACCAATATGTAATATATAAAATGAAAAAAATAATCTGAAGTTTTAACTGTTGGAGTTTTCTTGAGCTCGAAAAAACATGAAACACAAATTTTTAATTCTTGGAGCCTCCACAAATAACTGAATATTCCATAATCGAACTTTACTTGAACTATGTTCATTTTTTGTTAACCGAAAAACGTTAAAAAAATTAATGAAATTTATTTATTCTTACATCGAAATGTGTATTTTTTATTTCATAATTATTCAGGGAAAAAAATAAAAGGAAAACATTACTTATAATAATTTAATTAATGTTTTACTAAATTGATATGTAAAAAATATGTCGAGTCTATTTTATTGACGGTGCTGGAATGCAAGATAATAGAAGTCTAAACACTGTTTTCATTTGGACGGAATCCATTTTTAACATTTTTTACCTCCCCACCATTACAAATGGTCTTATAGGTAAGACAACCCCTTCGACTTGGTGAATCGAAGAATGGAGCAAAAGGTGGTCACCTGTGAAGACATTTCAAACTCTTACAACCTGGAGGAAAAGCCACGAGTGCAGGAACTCCTGTATGCAAGCAAAAAATACATCTGAAGATTTTTGAAGCTCTATTTGCGTTAAAACTTTAAAAGGACAATAGGATGTTTTTTACTAGGTTAAACAGGAGTAAGCTTCAACGAAAGGAAGGAAAACAATCACTACAACTTCCACTAGAAAAAATAGAGACTCGAAACTGTCATTACCGGGGAGGATTATCCAAGTCATGAATGAATCCAATGGCTAAAGAAAACACTATCACCGTCCTGAAATAAAAATCATGCTTTTCTTTTTTGCTTCGTCCGTAATAAATCTTCATTTTTACTTTTACGGGAAGAAATATGTGGTGCTTATCATTTTACTCATTTCTACATAAATCTAAAGCTCATTTTTTCTTTTCAACAACTTTCTTGATAAGTGTGTCGAACTCATTCTTTAAAGTTGTGCAACGCCTCAAGGCAATATGGTGTTCCTTACTACTTTTGGACATTTTAGGATGGAAGGCTAAAACGAATTTAGGCGATACAAAAGTGTGCGCTCTTTTAGCTAGGGCGTACACTAATTGCATCCGCCATAGAGCGGGTGTTGAGGCGCGCCACAAATAACAGGACCGACTGTTGTAGCCCAAATCCCCCAAACTAATTGTATTTTAAAAATACATACCATATTTGGCGTAGTATACAAGTTTGCGTAGCGAGTTGTGACTTCTGCAATATATATTCAAACTTTGTACTTTGCCATCGACGGCTGCTTTCTTCTCTGCACACCTACCTTCTACAACATTCTTGGTCCTTTCATCCTTCTTCTCTTCACGCTAACACAAGTATGGATTGTCTAATTATTTTATTTATTTCTTGGTCCTTTTTTCTTTTATCGTTTATCTTTTTTATTTTTTTATATTCTTCTTATTTTTATCATCTAGCTTTTTTATGCTCTTTTATTTTTTATCTTTTATCTTTCTTATATTTTTCTGTTATTGTTATCTTATATTTATTTATCTTTATTTTATTCGGTTTATCTTACTTTTTTCTTCCCTTTTCTTGCCCGTCTTCTCTGTTTGGCATCAATATCATAGATCGATTCATGTTAGCCGACCCCAAATTCTTTTGGGATTAAGGTTTGGATGTTGTTGTTGACTTGTTGTTGTGTTGTATTGATATAGGAGTTTGTGGGCAGAATAATAAGTACTCCACTAGTCCGTAGAAGATATCTAAGTGGATACCCGCACGGGTAGCTCAGTTGGTTGGGTGGTGGGAAATTTGGATCAGGGGCCAAGGTTCGAATCCCGCGGTGACCGTGTGGAGGTTACAGCCTCTGAAATGGGCTGGACCTCCGTCGCGCACGGGTATATGGGCCTACTGCCACTTCGCTGACTTAGTCACCGTGATTTACATCCTCCCATGTGCCCTGTCGGGTCAGGGTGTGGGGGGCTCCGGGGGTGGGAGATTCCACCTTTTGGATCAAAGATATCTAAGTGGATGAATATTAAATTATTCTATTAGCTTCTTTGTTAGTTAGTGGATGAATATTATATTATTTTATTAGCTTTTTCGGTAGTTATACACATTAGTTATACACCGTAGAAGATATCTTAATACCTAGTGGATGAATATTATTTTATTTTATTATGTTGTTTGTGAATTATATAAATTATATGTACCTTTTTATACAAATTATATATTAGTTCATTATTTATACTTTATTATATAAATTTGTGTAAAAGTTGAGGCTTACACAATATGCCATTTTGAACCTTGGCTGAACCGATTTTGGGACGGATGGAGTATGTTTTGTAAGGGACCTGAAGGAGTCAATTGATCATAGACAAATCAATGAATAGCCAATAATAATTGGCAGATCAGTAACATGATGAGAGGAAGCCTAAGTTCACTTCAGTTCAGGGATAAGGATGTGATACCAGTAAGACCCAATTCAACTACATGCTACTGCCAAGAAAGATTATTCGGTTACATTCTAAAAAACTCTTGGGGCTAAAGACTTCTGGATAAAAGAGTATGCCAAATCCATTAGTAGAAATAACATGACACAAGCAGCTAAACATAGGGCTCAAGTTTGACTGATAGAGAGCAGGACGAGCATGGGGTGGGAATGGGTTTGGTCCCACTTCTGTGGGCCGGTTATGGGCTGGGATTATAGCTTTATTTATTATTATAGAGTTTATGTTATCTTTTCTAGTTTGGGCCTATTATTAGTAGAGTATTTAGTAGAGTAATTTGGGCTTAATTAGGATTTAATTATTTTGGGCTCGATTAGGGTTTCTGTGGAGTCTCTAACTAGAAAGCTATTTATACCCCTTGCCAGAGTTCTTTCTTGTTTATCTTGGAATAAAATTGGATTTCAGCCTTTTGGCTCTGGGCAACGGTTTATATCGTTGATTATCTGGGCAACGGATTTATTCCGTTGATTTTATTTTTCTGTTTTCATCATTGGACTTTTTTAAATGCAATAATTATAAACAAAAACTTTTTTAAATTTTATTTTATATAAGCAGCCATACAGGTCCCCAGATCTTTGGAATAGTAATTTACATTTTAGGTTCATACATGCAGCTATGATTCTGTGCATGTGTGGGGTCTGATTGTCTGAGTAAGTAACTTTGTATGTTTTTTACGCATTCATAAAACAAACATATAAGAGGAAATCGAAAGGAGGTGTGTGAAAATGTAGTTAGAAACTGAGAAGTCATGCTTTCACCAACACACAAGTAGATATCAAAGAAAATGGAAAGTGGGAGGGGGGGGAGGAAGTGACAACTTAGGCTGAGAGGAGAAAACAAAAACAAAAAACTAATGAAAGAGAAGACTTACCGTATCTGAAGAAAGGCTGTCCACTAGATCTCTTCTCTGCTAGATATGTTGCAAGCTGAGCATCACCAAGTTCAACCATTCCAGTATTTGCAACTCCGTCCAGCAATTCAACTACAGAATTTAACAAAAGAAAGAACAAATCATACACTGTGAGTTGCACTCAAATTCAAATCATAAAAGATACATGCAATGAGGAAAGAAATCCTACCGATCCTCTTCCACTTGTGTAAAAATTGCTGGCATTGTCCACTCCCAAAAGAAAGCATCTAAGCATTAATTAGAAACAGAAGTTAGGAAAGTACATATAAAAAACTTTGGATTCCATTGTGCGGAAACAGAGAATAAAATGTCACCTATGTGGGACCTAATTGCACTTAACTCAGAATCATAGTATGTGAAGTTATCTCTAACAAACAAAAACATTAACAATCATATTCAAGCCTTGGTCCCAAAAGAGTTCGGGATCAGGTAACATGAATCGACTATGAATCGGAGCTAAAACAAAAACATTGCCGCAGTGTTGCAAAGGTTCCCACCTACGGTAGGGTAAGGGTGGGTCGGATGTACACATTCTTACCCCTGTACTAAAGCACATAGAGGCTGTTTCCAAATGACCCATGATGAAAATCGCGTCGAAAATTGCATCGACCCACTGCTGCTTCATAACGAGGAAGCGGCAAGCGCAAATAGTTTATTGAGTCATTTTGCTTTATTCCATCATATCTTTGAGCCAAAAAATAGTGAGTCTTTGGCTCCATTGCAAATGATGGAAAGAACCGGAGCTAAAAAAGATTGAAAAATAAGGAAAAATTAATGATTAAAAAGATAAGAAAGATAAAAAGGATAAGATCATCCATTCATTCATCATCATTACCCCAATGCCGCGAAAGACTCCCACCTACGGTGGGGTAAGGGGGTTGGATATATGCAGTCTTACCCCTGTACTAAAGCACAGAGAGACTGTTTTCGGATGACCCATAGTGAAAATCATGTCCAAAATTGCATGGACTGACTGTTGTTTCATAACAAAGAAGCGCATACAGATTAATGAGCCATTTTGTTTTATTCCATCATATTCTCAAACCAAAAAATAGTGAATCTTTGGCTCCATTGCAAATGATGGAAAAATAAAAAAAAGTTAAGATAAAGATAAAAAAAGTTAAGATAAAAGGGGTGAGATAAAGATAAAAAAAAGTTAAGATAAAAAGGGTAAAAAAGATAAGATCAAAAAATAAATAAAAAAGATAAATCGAATTGATTTTCTGAAAATGTGAATTTATAACAAATACTTCAACGCATTACGTGCTAGTTTGGCCTCTGTGGAGCCTATTTACTTAAGAAAAGTCAAAATTACCTCAAACACTAATTTTTTAGATTCCCAAGTCTTAGTAAAAAATGCAATTGGAAAAATAAATATAAAATACAACAACAATAAATACAAAAATATATAAAAATATTTTTAACATTAGACAAAAAATGGGCTTTAATAACTTAACCTAAGAGGGAAAACACTCTCTTGTACACACAGTTCCAACTTTGGGGTTCTTCAAAAAAAGTTCCCACAAACTCGAGGATGGCCAAACAAGCACCAAAACACTTCATTTCCCGCTCAAAAGTGATTGAAACCCCGGATTCACAAGCTTATTACAATGACTACCCATACAAATAGTTGAATGCTTGTATCATAATATAAAAAGATATTTGGAATATAATAATGGAACTATGAAATGTGCCACCATGTTGAACTCAACACACCTGAACCAGAAATGCCTTATTGCTTTCATGCACGGACACAAAGCTGTCAGAGTTAACGAGACCATAGTCACAATCTGCGAGTTCTGCAAAGAAAAAATATACATGGTCTCATACTCTCACACTGAAAAACTCAAGAAAGCACACATCATCTGATGAAAAGGACCCCATTGAAGGAATTAACCCTTTTGCTTCAAAGGGTATGTCAATCAGTTCAGTATCCTTTCCAAATGATATGTAATTACCAAAAGAAACAGGTTCAATCAGAGGAAGACGGATTTCAGAAATGCTTGTCCCATTATATTGCACCTTGGCCTTATCAATAACATCCTAGGTAGCAATAGCCAATAAACAATTAATAATATCTCGGATAGAAAAGAAAAGAAGCTTGATATCCAGTACCAAATTAGAGATCTAAAGCAAAAGGGTTATAGAAAACTCACATGCTGCTCATCAATACCAAAAATGTCATAATCTCGTTTCCATATCTGATTTGTCAGCAGCTCAAATGCATATTGAACCTGAGGGGTAAAAAATATAGTACATATAATGAAATAAATAAATAAATAAATAAATAAATAAATAAATAAATAAATATCAATGACATAATTTATTGCACTATATTAGAGGAAACTGAACCAATATTGCAGAAAATTGTTAATGGCCTTGGTACAAGATCTAGTCCAAGGCCCTGAGGATGGAAAGAAGGATGTGAAGCTATGGTGTTTGGAATTTTAAAAAATAAAAAATAAACTAACTTCCTGCCCTAGGCAAGGAAGGTGATCAATGGTTCTACCAGCAGATTAAAATAGTAAGTATTCCAAAGGTAATTATGTATTTCACTATTTGCAAGTGATAAGCCTTATAAGTTATATAGGCAAAAGACAGTCTCCTGAAACAAGATTAGGGAAAACTCCTAAACTATTACAACTCAGGAATAAGAGATTGATTAAATATGAAAATCTAAATGATAGGAAACAACTGGGATAAAGAAAGCTAAATAAATAGAACATAAATTAGAACAGCCAGGATAACTTGTGGACCACATAATTAGATGAAACCACGGTAGTCAAAGTCCAGAGGCGCACTAAAAGTGCTAGATCTCCAGCGCCTGAGGTGCAATTAAAGTGCTCACCTGACTCGGGCAAAGTGCATTACTTAGATAATATCACATAATCTATAATTACTAAATATGATGAATGTAACATCATATTTGACCAAATGCATAAAAATGCCACAATTCATCAAAACAAAGTCGTGTTTCACAAAAATAAAACACCAAATTCAGAATTCATGGCTTTAATAATAAAACTAAAAATAATTGTAGTGAGGAGATGATAAAGAAAACTTGATCTGTGTAGAGCAGCTGGAGTGAGGAGAGTGAGTAGACTGAAGAGGGATAATTGTTGTAGTGTTTTACGTTGGTCTTTACGTTTTTACGTGCATGGCTTGATTTTACATAGGTATCACTTGTTTTACCCTATTATTTAGATGGGCCAAGTGTTATTAAAGATATGCGCTAATTATTTTTGAAAGTTTTAAACAAAAAAGGCTCTCAGCCTTATCCGCATCAGGCGACCCAGACACGCGACTTTGTTTGCTCCAGCTCCTCATGCGCTTCTGCGCTTAAGATGCACTTCTGCACCTAACTCATGTATGTGCGCCTCCCTTCTCCCAAGCACTGGATGTCTGGATGTCATGCTCGCTGCGTTTGGTGCACATAAGCGATGAGGCGCGCGCTTTTGACAACCTTGGAAGAAACTAACTAAGTAGAAACAGCCATGATAACTTGTGGGCCAAATAATTAGGCTATTTTCTGCATCGATGGTTTACACGGACGAAATGGCCCGTATCAAAATTAAACTACTACCTCTGTCCCGTGCCCGCGGCATAAACTTCTCATTGAAAATGAAACGATTATTTAGACAATAGTTAAATAAGGTTATTCGGGTTTGTTTTGAGAAGTGAATTTGAAGGGTATATAATATAATATGGTCATTGATGATAACTATGATGTTATAAGTGTATTATATTTAATATTTGATGATTAAGTTATTATTTAAGAGTGCTTATAATTTCCTAAAATGGAAATGGGTATACCCGTATAATATAGTGAGGGCATTGATGAAAACTGGAACACCTGCTCCTTTGGAATAAAAAATAGGGACCTGTGTTTCACTTGTTTTAACAAATAGTCCATGTGTTTGAAAATTTTGTTAACAGTGGAGGGGTCCAGCGTTTAACACCGTTGGAAATTGCAGGAGAAAGACGATGAACACCCCCTCTGATTTTCAAAATTGCCAGGGAAATTAAAAAAAAATACTGGGAGGTGCGCCTCGTCAAGGTGACCTCCAGATCATCTTTCTTCAAAATGACTTTAAAGAATCACTTTTTAAAGTAGAAGCAATCGCAAACACTCCCTTAATTTTCGCAATTCAACAAGCTTGAATCAAACCTTGATAAAATCATTAGTTGAACCAGCATCTGTGCTTGAACTCCTGCAATGATGACAGTTACAGAAAGGAATTATTCATGTTTTCTTACTTCTTAGTATATCCAATGTTGATGCTGAAGCATCGAACAACATATATTGGATAAATAAAAAAGTAGTTACAGTATAATGACTACAAGACAGGAATGTCAACAAAAGACAAAAAAGTGGCAGCAATATTAATTATATTAAAGCCATAATAATTCTATGAATATAGATAAGTGTAAGCATAAGAGCATCTAAACTAAGGGATGGATTTAGGGGGGCGGGGGGGCGTCCCCTTGAAATTTAAATTTTTTTATTGTACATGTAATATTTAAGAAATTTTTTTATACTTTACATAGGTATCTATGTGTTCACCCCCCTTGACTTGTGGTTTCCAAAATTAGTTGTAGTGTTACACAATACGGAGTATATAATACTCCCTCCATCCCATTTTACTTGTCTTACTTTCCTTTTTGAGTTGTCCAAAAATAAGTGTCACATTTCAAATCTCAACCACAACTTTTACCTTTTCAACCACTTTATTAAAAATTGTGCCAAAACCAAATGAGACACATAAAATGGGACGGAGGTAGTACTTAATCCAACAACATCCAAGCCTTAAAAACTTCGGAGTTCTGATGGGATCCGGTGCATTAGTGTTGGTATGATCGCATCCACAACTTCGGAGGTAGTACTAAATAGGAGGCGTAAAAGGAGAAAACCCTAAAGTAGTTTATATTGATGAACTATTTTAGTTATGTTTAGCTTTTTTCTTTCTGAACATCAATATTGTTATTAATTTATTGCCTTCTAGTCTTTGACAAATAAATAATAGAAAATTCATTGATCTAAGACATAGGATACTTATTCTAGAAAACAAATCTCATTTTTATATTGTTTAACTTATCTTTAATAGATTAAAGTACCCGACTTTGTAAAATATCAAGTAATATTAAAATACTATAAACACTAGTTAAACAATTATCATATAATGTGAAGTGAATTCGAGATATAAATGTCTATGTGACATTAAAATTACACAAATTCTTTGAGCTCAAACTTTTTTTGAAAAGAATTTATTGCATAAATAATATACTTAAAGTATTTTAGTATTCATAAAAATATAATATGCACAAACTATATGAATTAACAAAATAATATTTTCTTAAAATCAATATGTTTTACATACTATTATTATACTCCGTATTAATAAGACTCATCGTGACTTATAAACACCAATGATGAACAAGAAAGTGTAATCCAAAAAATAGATTTTTTATTCTAATAAGATTCATGTAGTGAAACAATAAAAAATTCATTTAAAAATATAGTTGGTTGTTACTTCTTAGACCCTTTATCTTCAAATAAATTGATAAAGTGTTACCCATTTTCTTATAATCAAATAATTTTCTTTTGATTTGGTATCTTTTCTGGGCATATGATTTGGCATTACTTAGACTTTAATTTACCAATATTTTTCTTCTAGAGAACTTCAATTATAAAATCTAAGTGAATTTTTTCATTGTATAAATTTAGAGTGTAGTATATTTAAATGTTGTGTATATGCTAATGAAAATATTTTTTTGGATAAAAAAGCTAGGGTTTATAGTAATGAAAAAAATTGCCCCCCTTAGACACAAATTCTGGATCCGTCTCTGTGACTACACTTGAAAAGTTAAACCTTGCGGTAGTGAATTGTATTAGTTAATGCAATAAAGTAAAGTTAGAATGGAAAATTTATTGAAATTGTTAAAAGAATGTTCTTTGCCCAGGTTGATTTTAGTCATTTAGTGTTATGTATAGATATCAAGTTAGCATCTGACTTGGAAAACTGTTCATTGTTATATTTGTATCCTCTTCACTAACGTTCTTGGATCAAGAGAAACAAACAGGTTATACATTTACTTTCCATTAGATAAAATGGATATGCTCATGTTAATTTATTGTACTAGTTGCACTTGGTATTTAGCATCTCTGTTGTGTTCTTCACCTCTTTGTTTGTAGGCATGCAGCTAAGTTATTGTGATGATGTGTCACTTAACATTCTACTACAGTGATGCTTGTATGGATAGTTTAACATAACATCTTCTATGTGGATGCTCTAATACTACCAGGCAAATGGAACAAGAATACCACTTATTACAGCTAGAGTATAAGAAATGTGCAAGTGTGCTACTTGGGAAATAACAACAATTTTACCATTGGGAGGTTATTTTTTCGTATGCTTTAGTTACTTCTTCAGTCGAGCTAAACCGTTTGATCCCCAAAACTACAACAATAACAAAAAGCAAATTAAAGAAATAAAATTGATTAGTTAAGGCATGATTGAGTGGGAGGCATGGTGTACCGTCGTAATGCGAAGGAGGGAAAAAGTGGGGAAGGACGAGGAGCTGAAAGTAGAGAGAAGCTGCGAAAAGCGTAAGAGGGAGCCAGTATGTTTTCAACGTCTCCACGGCTGAAAACGTCGGCGACGCCTTCGCGGGCTGAACCCTAGAACATGGTTGAAGTGGCATGGCCGGGATTTTGCCTGGCATGTCCAAGATAGAGAACAAGACGACGTGATGTTGCGGGAAAGTACGGCTGTGGACGGCTTATATTCGTTCTCATCCTCTGAAACCTTGGCGGGCGTTTCAGACTATAAGTCAAAATAGGAGAATGTTTTTACTTAAATTCCCAAAAAACTTTATCATTTCAAAAAATTTGAACCATGATTTTGATTACTACTTCTTATAATATTACGAAAGTTATAAATTTTATACTTTTATGAAAGTATTTTTAACAAAGAACGTTTTCATATAATTTTTATATTATAAATAATTTTCAATAAAAAGATATAATTGGTCAAAGTTTTAAAAATGGCAATGTTTTTAAGACGGATGTAGTATTAGATTAGATGAGAATTAAATAAAATAGATCACACCAGCATTTAAAACCGGGTCAGATTTCTGGAGTTGTAAAATACACAGAAACCAAACATGTACTGTACCAGATTAGATCAGATCAGATCAGACCGAAAAAAATCGGTTCAAATAAAAAACATCCTAATTTAGTTAGTAACACATTAGCAATCACACACTCCCTCGCTTCTTTTTTAAGTGTCTCATACGAGTATAGTTTTTTATTATTTATTTACATGATCGCTCTGCCAAAATACCACTACCAATGTGCAGAAAGAAGACTGAGTTAAAGAGTTGAAAAGAGAAGTGAGTATGGTATTAATGAAGTTTGAACTATTACATGTGGTGAAGCGCCCTTGATGTGGAGCAGAATCAGGCACGTACATGACGGTGCATTAAATGTGTCTGTTGAGCGTTGGAGTGAGACGGACCGAGACGGACCGAGTGTCCTACGGGATGAGGCCGAGGGCACCTACCGAGGGGTCCAGACAACGACAAAGACTTTCTGGATCGATTCCACCGGTAATCCATTATGCAAGTTGTTGTGGCCAATGGCTCTCGAGGGGTGGCTGGTTAGTTGTTGGTCCTCTTGTGGCTCGTTGGGCTGTACTTGTGTAGTTTGAGTGTGTGGGCTGGGGAGCATGGGCATATACTTCATCATGAACCCCCCACTACCTTCGTCGAGAGGTAGCTGAGGCGAAGGGGAGTAGTTCTTGAAAATTTGGTTTTTTGAAGTTTGCGCATTTTCCATGTTCTGTTCGACGATAAAAAAGAGTGAGAGGTAGTCCCCTAGCCCCCCACTCCAGCTGGTCAAAGGTAGTTCGGGCTAAATGAGTTGATGTTGTGGTACGTTGCGGGATCCTCTGAATGGTTGTATGATATGTTGCTTAGGAGTAATAGTCGTGGGAGCATTTGTATCGAGGCATTTGATGTGCTTTTGTCTAGATTTTTGTATAGGATGAGGGCATTGAGGGTCTTGCCTCGCCTGAAGTGAGCTGGGGGATCTTGTGTTCGAATGTCGTAGTAGCTGAGGGGTGTCGGCCCCCTTGTATGTCCGAGAGCTACTAAAAATCAATTGACAAGTCAGCCTGCAAGTTCCCAAAGGCTTGGAATTTGTTCGTGTTGTTGCTCATTGGGTGCACCACGTGTTCGACTATGAGTTGTTCGAAGCGGGCTTGCGTTCCTGATTGGGTCAATTAGGCAGTTGTGATGATGGCGTTTTGACCAGAGGGGGTGGTTTGAATGTAACCATGGTTAGGTTGCCTATAAATACCCCCATGTCTGGCCTCATTTTCTCTTTAAGCATTCTTGTTTTTGGAACGAAGCCCTGTCAAAAGCTAGAGAAAGAACCCAGTCGAGGATCTAAACCCCCTTTTCAGGTGAGTTCTTCACTTGTTCTTCGTGGTTTTCTCATACCTTGCTTCTAGGGCCTTTGGTCTAATGTTTAAGGCTACAGCCCTAGATTCCCCTTAGTGTTGGATACCTTTTCCCCCCTAAAGGGTTGTTAGCTATGTCGTCTGAAACTTCTCAGTGACCATCCATCTCAAGACTACTCTCGTGCAAGCACACTTAAGCTGTGTTTGGCACAAGGAGCTCGAACTAGAGATTGATGACTGGATTAGAGTCTATTGTCTGAATCGGAGACTATTGTCTGGAACTAAATTTTAAAGACTGAATCTGAATTGTTAGCTGAATGATGTATATCTGTTTGGCACAAGAGCTGAAAGAATGTGTGGAAATGATGAAAATTACACTAAAGGGCATGTCAGTTAACAATATACTCCCCTTGTCCCAAATTGATGGTCCTATACTTTTTGGGCTCAAATATTAAGAAAAAGTGGTAGAAGGACTCATATAACCTTACTTTATTGTACTGTTCACCCATTTACTTTTATTGTTCATTAAAAAGGAGGGTATAAATAGTAGTCTTTACCAAAAAGGGAAAGGTGACTATCATTTTGGGACGGAGGTAGTAATTTTTTGACGTTACCATTAATTAAGTTTTACTATTTCTTAAAATCACTTTATTTTACACATGTTTTTTTAAATAAAGATTGCATTAATTAAACACATAGTTGTAGCTATATGTTTAGACGAAACGCAAAACATAAAACTAGTATTTAAAAAAAATCAACAATGATGAATCATTGAATGAAGGGAAAAGTACAGAAAACGTACATGTGATTTGGGCCATTTTCAGATAGGGGCATGTGTTTCATTTTCTAACAAAGTGGAGTATGTGTTTCAATTCCGTTATCATAGCGCAGGGCATGGCGTCTAACGACGTTAGAAAAATTAACCCCGATTTTAAAAGTCTCCGAAAAAATAAAAGAAAAATACTGGGAGATGCGTCTCGACAAGGAGATCAACAAACTATCTTTATTTTTTATTTCCAGCCACCATATCTCGAGAAAGTCCACCAGAAAGTTGATATTAGCGAATTTGTTTTTAAAAGATAATCCAAATAGAGCTGAAAAATCCAAAGAGAATGATAGTTTGTTGATCTCCTTGATGAGGCGCACCTCCCAGTATTTTTCTTTTAGTTTTTCGGAGACTTTTTAAAATCGGAGTTAATTTTTCTAACAGCGTTAGACGCCATGCCCCTGCTGTGATAACGGAATTGAAACACATGCCCCACTTTGTTAGAAAATGAAACACATGCCCCTATCTGAAAATGTCTCAAACCACATATACGTTTTATGTACTTTTCCCTTGAATGAATTAAGGTAATTAAAGTACATATCTTTAAAATTTGCAGTGCCTGAAAGCAATGGCTAAACAAAGATGAATACTCTAGATATCTCTTCTGGACAGGAGATCCGAAAAATCAAAGCACCAGCGAATTGAAGTAGGCAGGGATGATTTGGAAAATATATACATCGACTGAAGAGATACGTTGGGTCAACTAACGTTTCAATTTAGCCCACTTATTTCAGATTCAGCTCACTTAAGCCCTTCATCCAAACAATAATATTTTCAAAATAATTGACTGAATTTTAAATATTTCAGTCCTTTTTGGGTTGAAGTGGCCTGCCAAACATAGCCTTAACTTGGAGTTCTTAGTAGATGAGCTCCTTAAAAGGAGTTACACCTTCTTTGTATGGGTAGTACTTTTAATTCATTCAAGCTAATCTTAAGTACTACAGTCACCTCCGCTTAGGAATGCAACGCCACCGTTGCGCCCATAAACCAATCTGAATCAAGTCCCGAAATCCTCCTCTACTAAGTGCCCGCTCGATATATCCAACATATCAGCACATTGTCGCAGAGTTGCCAAACTCTGTGCATGTCAATGTCATTTTGTCCCCAGTTATTTGGCATGGCGCCGTGCCAAAAATATGTTATGATCTGTGCCAAACACAATCAAGACGAAGAGATGACTGAGGCACTGCTAATAGAGGGGGACTTTGCCAAGAGGACAGTTTTGCCCATGCGAGGGGAACTGACAACGTGGAACCCTCCCATCAGTTTCCCTATCTGAAGCCGTTGAAAGCCGTAATGGGGAAGAAATCTCATAAGAAACATGCACAGAGCCTAGGGCAATCAACAGGTATATCTTAGGGGCACGTGTTCTTGGATATGACGATCCTTGCAGAGATTTAGTCGAAGGCTGATGACACTGACTTTCACATGAATGACATGATGCAGTTTTATGATGGGGTGAATGCTAGACTGTTGGAACTAGGGTTGTAGGATACATTGTGATCTCCCCTGAAGGGGGTTTTTGCCGTACACGTGTTTTCGGTAACCTTGAGGCTTAGGTTTCCATTGCATCCCTTTCTACTAGAGTACCTTCAGTACACAGTTGGTGCCTTGCCAAGTGATGCCCAACAGCCATTCGTACATAGCTGGCTTTCTTGTTTGGTGCGTTGAAGAGAAGGTGGAGCCCTCCCTCGATATGTTCTTCTTATGCTTCAACTTCAACTTGATTTTTTTTAGGGGGGGGGGGGGGGGTCATGTGAGTAGTCATGGCTTCACCAACTTACAATAAGTGCCCCGAGTGGAGGTTGTTTGATGAGGTGCCCTCTTCACACAAGAGTGGACAAAGCAATTCTATTACATCCGGATATCAAAGAAGGAGGAAGAGAATACTTGAATTTCTGAAGTTGGTGTTAGCGCCACTATTATTGCACCCTGAAAGATGAATGTTTTGATCAGAAGACAAAGATAGAAGAGGGGCGAAAGGAAAAGAAAAACTTGAAATAATTATAGACATCGTGGGAGAAGAATATCAATATTGGAGGCGGAGATGAGCGATGAGGAACAAGGGCATTTTAGATATTCCCAAAAGTGAAAAAAAACTTAGAATAGAAACTCATGACTCCTATAATAGGATTAAACCATCTTAACTCCTATTTTGTCTTTTTAACTTTGTTATACTCATATTAAGGGGATTTTTTTAAACTTTATTCTTGGATTCAATCTACAATAGTTGTTTATTTTACAGGTGTAATTGTAAGTTAGATATATTGAATATGATTTTCAAATTAGAAGGATATATTATCTAAACCAAAATCAGATATTGCGGCTGCATCCAATCGGTATCTCGAACCAGCACAATTCAAGTAGGATTTTCATCCTCTAGAATAAAAACATTTTTTACATGTTTTTCTCCCAAACAATTGGTCATTTTAATAAAGAATAATCTCCAATTGGTGCCGATATTAGAACCACAACAGTACAAGACGTTACCCAAAAACACGATCTTGGTCTAGGGTAGACAAGGCGGGGATCG